AGAAACGATAAATACAAGAGAGAAATCATGCGGACTCATCAAACCACAGATTGGTGGTGGATCAAGGACCCAACAATCAACGCAGAGAGAGTACTAAGGGGGGACGCATGCAAGTTTCTTATATTGGCCGGTTGACATGGACTTCTTTCAGGACGCGGCTTCTGATATTCCAATTGTAGAATTAAGCTGTGTTTGGTGAAAACCTAGAAATTTAACCGCCAATCTTTATTGGCATTCCAAATGTTAAAAACGCTGCTGTATAGGGATGTTCATGAAAAATCGAAAAACTGAACTGAATTGAGAAAATCGAATCGTAAAATGCAGTTAATTAAATTGATCAATTTGGTTTCAATTTTTGGTTAACTTATAAAAGAAAAAAAAATGACGGTTAATCGAATTGATCGGTATATATTTTTATGTATATTTTATATATATTTTTAATATACGTCACATATTTTCTATGTATTATATATAAATATATATTCATTATATATAAAATATATACTTATATTATACTTATAATGATCTATTTATAAATATATTATATATTATATATTTTTCAAATATTTATAATATATTATATATCATTTATTATTTATAATATAATATTATATATTATATTTGTATAATATATATTATAAATATAAAAAAACCAAAAAACCGAAGAACCAAACTGGTCAAAAACCAAAACCAATGCGCCGATTAACCGGTACCACCAGTTCGGTTTACAAAAAAGTGTCATGATTTGGTTAACCGAACCGTGGACACCCTTACTGCTGTATATAATATATGAAGTTATTCCAGGTAGCTTATTAATCATCTGAAACATGCATGGGTGCTCAACCTGATCAACCACCACAGTTCAGTTAATGCAAAAACCATCCCAAATGGAGCCTTACATGCATGTGACATATTTCATTTCGTTTTGAAAGCTTTTTGCTTAAGATAGTTAGGGGCCATTTGGCAAGTTTTTTTTTGGGCAGATCTACTGATAGTCATGACAGTCAAAAGATATATTAAGTTTTTGCATGAAGATCTTAGCAGTCTGAAACTAATTTGGCTTTCTATGCATCTTTCTGCATACAAATAAAGCCAGAAAGACACGAAAAACTCCATTTGAGTTTCCCAAAATCAGCCTAAAATAAACTTCTCGCATTTTTTCATGTACCAACTTTTGGCAGCTAAATCTGTTATAAACTAAACGATAAAAGACCACGGCACGATCTACCCAATTTATAAACAGTGGAAAAGACACGCCAAACGGGCCTTAATATTTACTGGAATACAAAACCAGGACAACCTTGATGTAATGGGCATTGTTGCTTGTTGGCTCCGTGGTTTATTTGATGAGAGAGGACACAGTTGACGCGGAGCATGATGAGCTGTAGCCTGTAGGATAGAAATAGTACTGGAGACACAGCTTTGATATGCATGCATGGCAGCTTTAATTTCTTCTTGCTTCTCGTAAGCAATTCAACGTCTCGGCTTTTTAGGTTTTGTCTGTTTAGCTCGCTTGCTCCTATCTTATTAAGGATTGGAAAGGCTAGTTCCGGGCCTCCCGGAAAAGCAATTCAACTTTGCTGATGCTTTCCTGGTTCCGCGGGTCAATGGTGCCTGCTGGTGACCATTTACAGTTGAACTGTGTAAGAGGAGGTTCGGGGAGCTAAAGAAGAGCTAGGGCTTAGGAGGAGGGGAGCTTTTGCTTTGGACTAGCTAGGCAGAGGCTTTTCCATGCACCTTGGATTCCATTTGGCCACAAAACAGCCAATATGTACCCCACCTAATTAAGCTCACTTGACCATCGATGAATTTTTTGACTTGTGATGATGAGATCTGCTTATAGTTAGACATGTAGTGATATGATTAAGAGCTAACTTCCTGCGCCTAAACTTCAAATTTGATTAGGCATATGGAGGAATAGACCATCTTGTGAAAATCTAAAGGAAAAGTAAGACAGCTTTCGATTTTGACAAAACTCAAGTTTAATTATATTCTCTACATTGATCTAGGGTTTGCACTTAGCTTAATCAATTCCTTTTGTATCAACTAGTCAGAAATAAGCTATTCATCAAGAAATTTGTTGTCATTAATCATATATATATATATATATATATATATATATATATATATATATATACTTGTTTAGTAAGCATGAATTAATTTTTCTAGAGACTTTTTCTTTGTAGGATTTCTAGAGACAACTTGTGATTGAAAAAAATGACTCTAAAGAGGTCACTTAATTCCTTACTTATTTTTACTAATTGATGAGGGAGTTCTTGATTCAACTGCATCAATCAATTAAGAGCTGCCCCTTCACTGTGCCTTGATAAATCAAGAGGTGGATTCAACCTTTTTTTTTCTGTATATTGCTCTCCTTTCACTGTGCCTTGATTAGGATTTATATCTTCATAATTAAATGGACATTTGAAATTTCTTTGATAAGACGGTAAAGTTATCTTTAACTATATACTCCAAAGTGCATTTTCTTTAAAGTATATATTCTTTTATTTGGGTTGTTCCTTTCATTAAGACCTTAATCTGACCCACATGGCATAAATGTCTAAGACTGAAAAGAACCGTGCCATTTCACATGAGAACTCTTGTTACAGAAGATCGATGATGCCTTGCATGATTTAATTTGAAAATGTAGCTTTTGTATGAGACTTCCAATACAATAGATAGTTGATTAATTATGATATAGTTATTGCTTTATTTAATTAATTAATGCCCCAGACAAAAGAAAAGAGACCATTAATTGTTAAGCAAATTATATGGTACATTAGTTGCATTGTATAGCACACTTGATCAAATTATTGAGCACACTTGAGAGTAGCTTAACCTACATACATGAATAGCACTATTATGAAGTTATGAAGGTGCTACTGCTAATTGGCTCAGTTGGTAAGGCTTTTAGGTGGTTCTAGTGAAGATTTGGATGGATTCTCGATCGCCTTCATCTGGGTTGGGGGGTTATAGGTATAGGGACGAGTTATTCGCCCATCCCTGTTGTGTAGCACCATGAAGTAAAATGAAAAAAGAAAATAGCATGCTTATTATGTTTTGAGAAAATTCCCGATTAGTACCCTATATTTTGGGTGTAGTGTCACTTTGGTCTCCAAACTTTAAGATGTGACAATTCAGTATCTAAACTTTTAAAACGTGGTAATCCAGTACCTGTCGTTAACTAGCTGTTAATCAATCGTTAAATGACATTTTAAAAAGACACAAATGCCATTTGAGTATCATCTAATTTTCTTTATCAACTATCCAAACGTTGACAAAAACATTAAAAGTTCCAAATCCTTACCTCTTCTATTCAATAAAGTTGGGGTCATTAGAATGCCCAATCAAATGTAACCCCTACTTTCTTGAATAGAAGAAGCAAGGATTTGGGGCTATTAATTTTTTATCAATGTTTGGATAGTTGATAAAGAAAATTAGATGACACTTGAAGGGCATTTGTGTCATTTTAAAATGTCACTTAACGACAGGTTAACTGTCGATGAATGTCAGGTACTGGATTGTTACATTTAAAAGTTCAGATATTGAATTGTCGTATTTTAAAATCTGGGGACCAAAGTGATACTAAACATAAAGTATAGGATACTAATCTAAAATTCTCCCTGTTTTCTTCGACCAAATTAGTTAGACATTCCAAATTATTGGAACCTTATTCAGATCTTTTATTCCTTGCTATATTTAGGCACCACAGTAGAGTTAAAATTTCCAAGAAGTCAAAGGGGCCATTATCCAATTTTTGTTCCGGACATTTAGGGTCTTGTTAGGGTGAACAGTGGGTTGGATCTGGACCTTATAATTAAACTTTGGCATTCTTTGTCGCATAAATAGCTGCTCTTAGGCTAGAGCTTTGCGAAAGGGGGTAAAGGCCCCTTTTGTGAAGAAGCTTTGGTTTGATTTCAACAAAACCCATTGTATTAATTTACTGATCACTCACTTGAAAATTGAGGGAACAAAAGAAGATCCAAAAAAAAGGGGAAATAAAATAGTTGCTTCAGAATGTGATAAATACAGTAGAAAGATGATTAAGATTTCATGCAGAGCTCAGATTTAGATTGTAAATGTTTAAATCGGAGAATGCAACAATTGGAGAAAACCATTTTTCTGCAATAATCTCATCTGTCATAATATATATATATATATATATATATCAAATTATCGATTGTTGTCTTCCAAGAAAAATTGTTTTCAGGGGATAGAAAGGGTGATAAATGCATGTAGATCCGACACTTAAAAATTGAGATTCAAGTTAGAGAGGAACAAAAGTATCAAAATAAAAAATCACTCTGATTAGTTTCCAAGGTAAAGCATAGGACAAGATATTACATCAAACTTCAAAGTGTGGAAATGACTTAAAAAGTAGTCAACGGATGTCAGGTTACCGGGGCCCCGGGCCGCAACAACAGAACAAATAATATCAAAGGGGTCTCTGTTCTGCTTTTTTTTTTTTGCTTTTTGTTCATCTTTTTTCTCACTGAAAGAATTGGCAACGAAAGTGGAGATAAAACTTCAAACCCTGTAAAAAAGCAAACGTCAGAGCTCCCCTCCATTATGTTACAGACATGCACTTACAGTGTCCAAACAAAGCATTTGATCCGAGGACCAATATACCACAATTGCCGACTCTCACTAGATCCCCACATGGGTCCTATTCCAGGAAAATGTCAAACTGGGGCCACCAGTCTGCCGTAATTTATATCTCATGGAAAGCCGTGAGTTTCAAGAAATGGAGGAAGATGTTCATGGAGAGAGAGAGAGAGAGAGAGAAAAGAAGAAGAAAGAGCCGACAACCGCACTCAACGCCTTTCATGGTGACGCCATCTGACAACAAACAATGAAAATTACTCAGTACGATATATTAAGATTCCACGATACACAACCCAAGTCGTTCAATCAATCAACAGAAAAAGCTGCTCTCTCCCCACTATAAAAACCCCACCAACCCCTCCTCCCCGACTTCCAACTTCCTATCCTCCGTCCAACCTAACAAGCCTACAAGAATATGGAAGAAGTATTCCAGGAGTCCGAAGTGTTCTGGTCCGACCACCACCACCACCGCCGAGGAGACGATGCTCAGAGCTCCATCGACCACGATGACGAAGACAGTTCTGATCATTCCAGGCAACCATGGAGGAAGAAGGTGATGAAAACGAGCAGCTCCGTTCCGGTCACTATACCGGAGACTACGGCCACCGGTCGTTCTTGGTTACATTTTCAAGATTCCGATGAAGATGGCAATGGCGAGATGGTGCCGCCCCACTTGTTGGTAGCTCGGAGACTTGAAGGGAAGATGGCCTTCTCTGTTTGCACCGGCAAAGGCAGGACCCTCAAGGGTCGTGATTTGAAACAAGTTCGAAACTCCATACTTCGATTGACAGGGTTCATCGAATCATGACGCCGGCCAGATGGAAAAAAATCCCAATTTAAAAAGGAAAATTCCCATTTTTTCAATCTATCTCTTTCTCTCGCTTACCACCATCTCTGGTTCAAAATATACTAATACGTACATTGAAATTAATTGTCTGAGATTTTGAAGGGGCACCCTTGATTGGGCATTGCATTCCGTCCGGCTCGGAAGTTTTAATTGTAATATATATATATATATATATATATATATAGGTTATAAGAGCCCAGCTTGAATTTGGAGATTTGGGTAACGCAATGCTGAACTTCTCATAATTAACTCAAACCCGAAAGTAGTCTCTGGATTATATATGCAATTTAAGACCTGCCTTGGTTTTGCTTGATTGGGAGGAGTAAGCTTGGAAAATTGAATGATATGTGGTTGCAATTCATTCAATATGAGAGAAGATGAAACTAGGAGGAAGGTTGTCTTAGGCTTGTTTGGTTGTAGCAAAATGAAATTTACAGTGCTGTAAATGCATGGGAGTGCAAATGGGCTGACCGTAAGTTCTGGTTTATTATTGTTTCAGTTTTGACTTGGTTTTGTTTGTTTGTTTGTTTGACGATAGCTGTGTTTGTTAGGCTCTGTTTGGGAATAGTGGGAATGCTCCTTCACTGCATTCTGCATATATCTACTTTGGTTCAGTTTTGCAAGTGTTCCATAACAATGCATTTATGCATTGAAAATGACATCAAACACAAATTTCAAGGTATGTTTACAATCAAAATTGATATTAAAGTTTGTGTCAAAAATAAACTCTAGTATTGGGATTATATATTCCCTATTCCCTCATTAATAAAAGTACTTCTTATATGTCATACTTATTTTCAATGAGTATGATGAATATATAATACTAGAGATATGTCAAATTTTTTTTATTTTCTATATTTATATATTTTATTTATTTTTAAATTTTTTATTTAATTATACCATCATTGATTGTCTCATTTGACCCAAATGGTTGAATTGTTTATTCACCACTAGGAGAGAAGAAATTAAAATGGTTTTATTTTCAAGTAACTTTTCAAAATATTGATTTTGTATTATTAAAACTAAGGCTGAAATTTTACTTAATAGAATTTAATGATGAGAAGCAAATATACCTTAAATATAGGATTTAATGAGAGAATGAGAGTTAAATGAAACTTAACAAGAGAGAATAGGATAGTGGTTTCATTTTTTGTTGGTTTTAAATTGTATTTCCAATTCCATCATTAATAAAAATATTTATAATTTATCATACTTTTCTAATATGATGAATATATAATACTAAAAATGTGCCCTAAGTTTTATACAAAATTTCTTAATTTATTCTCAGTATTTTTTTACATTTTATCTTTTTTTAATTTTTATTATTTACTTATGACATCATGGAATAGACCACTTGATCCAAAAGAATCCATATGTTCCAGAGCTAAGGGGGTAGAGAGCCCAAGACATTACGTCGACTCAAGTCATGTGTTTCCTCGTCTACACATATCACTTCCATATGGTTGGTTAGTTAACCACATGTCGTTTCCTGGGTTGAAGCCCATCAATCACATGTCTACTCCTCAACTCAGCCAGGTGTCCACTCCTTATTGGGATGCAGATTAAGGTTGCATCTCTTGACCCCACTTGGGAGAATGAGGTGACTACTAACTTGGTTCAACTATGGAGATGATAAGCGCTTGTCTAAGGGCCCGTTTGACGCATCTTTTTGGGAAGATCTTCTAGTAGCTCTAACAGTCAAAAGACACATTGAGCTTTTGCATGAAGATCTGAGCAGTCCAAAACACGTTTAGCAGATGCACGTCTTTTCGTGCGTCTTTCCGCGTGAGAATAAAATGTAAAAGATGCAAGAAGCTTCATTTAGAGCTTTCCGAAATCAGCCCAAAATTTCGGTATTTCGTCTTTTGGCGGGTAGATCTTCCGCATGCCAAACAGAAATAGATCGAAAATCAGTCTTCCCAGCCTGTAAACAGTCAAAAAATCCGCTCAAAAAGACGCACCAAACACAACCTAAGTCAACAAGTTCAAGCTTGGGCTCTTCTTCTTGACTCAAGGTAGATGAAGTTGATGTTGTAGAGGTTAAGCTTTCAGGAAACCAAGGTATGGGCTCAAGGTCCTTCCTCTTATCATAGGGTTGCCTTACCTTTGGCTCAAGTAAAAAAAGAACCAATCGATGCTCCTTAACCACTAGAGACCTGCTCAAAATCCATGAGATATATGTGACATGCTCAATTAGAGTAGTGTGTGTTTTGTTCCTTGGTTGTTTCGAGATAGATGCTTAACAAAACATTATAATGTCATCACCAAATCATCATTTAGTCATCATGGTGATCTGTATGCATAGATATTCACAAAAGCTTTTCTTGATTTATGAGCATGTCTACCATTGGGGAAAGATTCATTTTAACGTTTCCCCAAACAGTTAGGCTTTTATTCACTGTTCTGCTGATGTGGCGTTTATTATACTTGAAGACAAATCAATTACAAATGCTTAGTTAGTAAACAAAAGCTCTACCAAACACATACTTAGACTCTCAAAGGGAGGACTAGAGCCAACATACTCATCTTGTGTAAGTAGGCTCTGCATTTACGAGGATAACCTCATGGCCAACTTCAAGTTCCCTCTAGATGATTCGGTGGTTTGGCTATTGTCTTTCCATAGCCCATAGGGTACTCTCAGTCCAATTAGTCTTAAACTCTTTTAGATACTTCGTATGTATTGTTTCTATAGGTCATCTCCACAAAATTCCTTTCGATTTTAGGGTTTGTTTGGTTGCAGGAATAGGGGTTTAGAATCGGATTCCGATTCTAATTGTTTGGTTGGGTAGAATTGAAACCCTATTTTCATTCCTAGTGGAATGGCATTCCCCATATGAGAAAATGGCCATTTCCTCCCCCTCCCCTAGAAATGAGAATCTATTCCATCCATCCAGATTCTGATTTCAAACTGAACCAAACAAGTGAACGGAATAGGCCATTCCGATTCTGATTCCAACTATAAACCAAATGGACCCTTAGGTTGTTCTCAACTCGAACTAGTCGGAAGGTCCTCCATATGACATACGGCCAAGAAGTTGTCCTCCAAGGAGAAGGCTACCTTTAATTAAGAACTTGGCCAACTTACATGTTCAGGTCATGCATGGTTTATACGTCGGAGGCCAAGCTAGTGGAAAAAGGCCTAGCTAAGCCTAACTCGACTAATAGGTAGTCAAGTGACCCAAGTTGCAGATCAAACCATGTCTAAAGTCGAATTAAGCTATAAGAGGAGGCCAAGAAGAAGAGGCTTAAACTCTTCAACAGACTATCCTGATCAAGTTTCCATTGATTCCATCATATAGTCACTAGCTAGAGGTTTTGGCTTTAGGATTGACGTAGCTACAAGCTAGCTAGCTGAGCGCTCTCAATTAATAAGGGATAGATATGATGCACTCCACTCTTTCTATGGTAGACACTAGACAGTTGCTTGCATTCAACTTCACAGTCACCATGGAGGCAAGCTGGCAAGATTGGCAAAGGTTGATGTGGAAGCTATCATCAACACCATGAAAGGGAACGGGCTTTCAAATTAAAGAAGTCTGTCTAGGTGCCTGCGTCGATACCATAAACTAGTGCAACACCCTTGTTAGTAGGATCTCTTTCTCTCTCTGGCATGGCAAGTGTTGGGCCTTCTTAATTGGGAGATTTGATTTGGATTTAATTGTAGATTACGTGGGCCACCACCTTATCTCATGCACCTACTTAATGTGGGCCATGTGTTGGGCCTTCTTTTTGAGGAGTTCAGTTGGGTGGTGAAGAAAAACCTTATCTCATGGAATAACCTAGCTAGGCAGGCCTTGTAGTTCAAGACTGATAGCTGGGTCAAGCACAGCGTCAGCCTAAATTCTTAATAACCTATGCTGGGCAATACAGTTTCATTGCTATCTTATGTAGTGTCTTCCGCTCTGTTTAGTTTAAAATTCTTAACAACTTTCTGGACATTTGATAAAATTTACTTATTTGATATCAGAAATAGTTTAATAAACTATCAAAAGAATCGAGTAACTAATCAAATGAGAGGTTGATTATAGAGAGCTGCACTTGGTTAAATTAAATAACAATGAAAATGGTAAATAATGAAATATTTTGTTATATCCTAAGAACAAGTCGATTTATTTTTTATTTACTTTTTTTGGTGGAGGGGGGATGATATGAAAAGTATATGCTTTCATTGTTTCACAACGCTCTCAAGTATCAGCTCGAATCCATGTAATACCACTACCACATTTATGTTAGCAAAGAAGCCCAGGATCATTAAGACCCCGTAGCTGGCAGCCAGGATTATTAAACCATTTCAAATGTAAATATGGAATGGATCGAAACTTTGAGCTCAATTCAAGCTAAATCTTACAGCCCATCTGGCAGATCAAATGAAACGATTTCATTGTGTTTTAATTTCCTTTGCATTCAGTATTCTAACATGAAACCATTCCCGGCCGGTTAGTAAAAATGTTGGAATGGGATCACTTTTTGAATTTTAAATAATGATGAACTTGTCTTCAACTTTTCTTAAAATACGCCCAGAAATAAAGCCATCAAGCTAGTATTGGATTGTTTTTATTGCTACACAAAACTAAACTCAAACAAAATATTTCATTCAATGGTTTTCAAAGAACCATTCAACCTAAAAGTTTAAGAAATTAAATGAAGTCCTTGAATAGATTTTATTCTCTGACATTCCCCCTCACACAAAAGCCCATTGGGCTTGAAGCATGGACAGCATAGGCCCACTCATACCTTGTGCTGAAACTTAATTAATTATAATGGGGTGACGAGAATCAAACACTAAACCATTTGGTCAAAGTGGCTTTGATACCATCTCAAACAACCATTCAACCTAAAAGCTTAAGCTGTAAAGTGAAGTCGTTGAATAAGTTTTATTTTCTAACAAGTGTCAGTCATTTATAAGTTTTGTAATAGAATAAAAAGAATATAATGTACACTAGCCACAAAAGTTCCAATAAGCCT